CTGTCTCTGTCTGTCTGTCTGTCTGTCTGTCTCTCTCTCTGAGAATGTTCCTGGCTGCAGTTATGGCTCCATTCAAGCGAAGTGAAGTAAAAAGCAATGACATAATTTTTAGGCTGCTTTTTCATTTTCCGCCACTGACTTTCAGGGGGTTGTGAAAAACGGCCTCCTGTAAAGTAACCGGCAAGGTGTCTTGTACTCTTTCATATTTTAGGTGCATACAAGAGTTCAGTGCGGAAGCTGGCGATTGACTTTGGCCTGTTGTGTCCCATGAAGGTTTCAGTACTAACACTCCCTTTTCTCAATGTCTCTGGCAAGATTTTTGCCATATTGGACACTACTACTCCCCTTTCTCAATTTCTCTGGCCACTTTTTTTTTTTTTTTGTCGGCTTGTCTTYTCCTCATATGGGGGACAGCTGCATTTTTTACTATGCTATCATCTTCTCTCAATATTGTACCTCTCACTACCTACCCCAGACAAGCAAGGAACTATCCACCCACCAGACAAGGAACTTAAACCACCAGTACTTGGGCCAGCTATCGGTTGCGGAAAAGAAAAAGAGTAGAAACGTTTGTAGTCGGATGAATTTGGGCGCTCCTGTAGTAGCCCGTACGTTTCCTAAAATCGTGGCACGTTAACGGGCACGACTCTAGGAAGTACGGGTGGTTTAACTTATCGCGAGACCAGGCAACGTCACTTGTGTAAGGGCAGTATAGCATGCAGTGCTAAGGGGTTTAGGGTTTTTTTTCGGAGGCAGCTACCTGCTATCTAAGCCACAGGCGGGGAAACACATCTATGCACAGGAAGCTAGCCGATCTATCCTAGTCTACATATCCCCTCAGGGTTGACCCCTAAAGATTATGTCATTGCTTTTTCCTTCCCTTTGCTTGAATCGAGCGAGAATTGCGGCCAGGAACATTCTCAGCATAGGCCATCTTGCATTCTTGCAGAGCAGCACCCTCTAGTCAGATCTGGAATGACAGTGGAGCATACCTGCCATTATCTGGTGAGTAGAATCGACCACATGAAAGTTTTGACCAGATACATCCCGCAAAGTGCATGGCAACAAATGCAAACACAACCATCCAATAAGAACGCATCGGACAGCTTATAAATATAGATCCCATTCACAGAACGGGTGCTGTGTTGTTGTATTTGAACAGCTCGGGTCTTTATCTCCGAATACAAGCTTGGCACATGCTGTTTTCTCCCAGCTCTGCCTGAACAGAGTCAAGGGGTCAGTTCTGACACCCTGACAGCATCTGCTGCTGCAAGTTCATTGATTTCTTTTTTTTTCGGTTTCCTTTTCGTTCTCTTAACTTTTTATTTTTTTTATTTTTTCTGAGAGAGAGAGAGAGAGAGAGAGAGAGAGTAGGAAAGAAAAAGATAGAACTTTCTTTTTCTTTTTTCTTCTTTTTTTTGAAGGGTAACGACGTTGGAATATCATCGTTGAACTGACTGGCCTCTCTCTCTCTCTCTCTCTCTCTCTCTCTCTCTCTCTCTCTCTCTCTCTCTCTCTCTCTCTCTCTTCTTTTTCATTTTTTTTCCCTTCTTTTTCTGAAGGGTAACGACCTTGAGATATCACCATTAAACTGACTGGGCCCAGGTAATTCAGAGTATTCTTTTTCTCTTTTCTTTTCCTTCCCTTGGCACTTCTTCCAGGCCCAGGTAAATTCGGATTTTTACTCATTCAAGGCATAAGGCCCTTGGGCATGGTTGGAAAGGGGCTTTCGTCTCTCAGTGTCAGTATCGGCCCAGCAGAGTGCTTTCGCCTTGGGCGTTCTTTCCGATATCTACGCATTTCACCGCTCCACCGGAAATTCCCTCTGCCTCTACCGGACTCCAGCTTAGTAGTTTCTGCTGCCTGTGCACCCACTGGAAACTGTCGGCAGCCACCCTAAGTGAAGGCGGGCCCCTGATAATACAACGAGGCCTGAAAAAAAGCTAATGCGGGCGGGCAGGGACTCGTGGGTTGGCTGCTGCACGCAGCATCTGCAACCGACCGGTCGGCCCGATCTGTTGTCGATGCTTAGACCTGGAAAGATGCTGAGGCCCAGGGCACTTACAGTTGAGCCCCTGGCACGTTCTGGAAGGGCCCTGGGCGCAGATACTGGGACAGAGGCCGAGCATCCAGAAGCTGGCTTGACCAGCCAGCATCGGCACAAAAGGAAGTGAGGGCAGCCACTTTCTCATTCATGCTAGCTGGCTGGGCAGTGGCAGCTCTGCTGGAACGCAGTCTTGCTGGGCGCTGGTCGGGCAGCGGGAAGAGCGCTGGCGGGGGCGCTCGGAAGAGGCTGCGAGGGAGCGGCTTGTACGCAGAGCAGCCATGGCCAGCTGCTTGCGCCATAGCCAGCGGGCGTTCAAGCGATGGCCCTTGGTGAAGGAAACACGCAGAGGAAGACAAGGGGTGAACGGGCGGCGCGACAGCGCGTACCTGGTGATGTCGGGGCAGAGCGGCCATAGCCGGAGGCTTCATTCGTCACCGGGCTGCTGATCTTCCTGAAGACTTCTTGTCGTCAATAGGGAGTCTAGTTCGTAAGTGATGCCTGTCTGAGCGGTCATAGCCAGAGCGGCCATAGCCAAAGCGGCCATAGCCAGAGGGCGCCGAGCGCCTTATAGGAGAATGACATCGGAGACATTCATGTTGGAGGCGAGGAGCTTTCATTGCCACTTGGCTTGATTGCTCTGCTCTTATTCGGTGTATCTCGTGTTGCATTCTTCTCTCAGTACGAGCACATGACTATCTGGATTTCAATGGGACGATGCAATGTGGATTCGGTCATTCGCTTCGCTCATTTTCTTTGCACTCATCTGATCGCATTGGAATTCAAACTCATCCGGGTAAACGTTTAAGTGCGAAACCAGAAAAAATTACGCTTGGAATCACTGACCAAACTGTAGAAGATTGGGCAAATCAGTGAGGGGGAAACACACTCCCAGGCAACTCTGTGTTTCAACAGTCGATAGGTGTACAAAGTTACTCCAAACTGAGGGCATACTCACACGAGGACTTTTTCTACTACGCTCTGGTCGTGATTGCGGTCAGATTCATCTAGGTTTGGTCGCGTTTGGAGTTGGATACATTTAGAAAGTGCTAGTGTGAGTATGCCCTGAGGTAGGTCAGTTGGTCCTTGCCCATTTCTCCCAGCTCTGCTGGACAAAGTCAAGCGTTCACTTTTGGCACCCTGACATCGTCTACTGCTCCGTTCCTCTTTTTTTTTTTTTCACTTTTTTTTTTTTTTTGTTAAATGTCTGGCATATGGGTATGCTGTCTTTACTTTCATTAGCCATCAACTCCCTCGACTCTTGTTTTTTCCTTTGCACTTCTTCTCTTTTTCACTTCTTTCCTTTCTCTTTTCTCTTTTCTCTTTTCTCTTTTCTTTCAGTCACACAAAATTCATACAAGGGATTCAAACAACACATAAAAAAAGTAGAATATCTAGCCTGCAAAACACGGCAATCGTGAAAGCTTCCACTATCATGTACTCTTTCTTGAAGCAAACCACAAGCCAGAGAAGTTGAGAAAACATATATTAAGTCCAACCCTGTCAGACAAAGCACATCGTTGGGTGTGCGCACATCCCATAACAAAAAGCGATCGGCGGCACAATTTTAGGAACAGGTGGGCTCCAGGTGTAGGAAGAAATTTTGAGAAAGACACATTAATATGTTAGGAGAGACACATTAAGCTTCTTGGTTTCATCAAATGATGAGTGGTGTCTCACATCCCTTCCGTATGTGAGAGGCGGGCCTCCCCAAGACTTGTTACGAACAGTCGGCCGCCAAAGCCTATCTGACCCCTAAAAAAAAAA